AACGGGATTACCGAAACGCGGATGGCCTTTTTCAGAAAAACAAGGACTGCAATGAAAATCAGAGTGGATGCCACATGTTACTGAGATGACACCAAATGCCGGATGCATCTGTACCAATCGCTTCAATCACGTGCTTCATACCTTCAGTTCTTGTCCACAAAAGTAAATTATAATAAATCAAAATTCTAAAATGTCACTTTCTAAAAAATAAAACATTTTCAAGATGTTAATTTCCGTGTAAAGGCTTACATCGGCGACAGCAGCGGACGATTTGATCTGATCAGTGTCGAGTACCACAAAATAGGATAAGTTCGTCGCAAGAAATATAAATGCCACCAGAGACATACCAATTATTATCGACAAAGGCATTGTCCTTCAAATTATATTAACAACTGTTTTTTTGCAAATCAAAAAAAAATTATTGTTATTGCTGTTGTTACGTGCGTACGGTATATGTATGTATGTATGTGTGTCTGTGCATTTGTGTATATATGGATGCGCGTATGCATGTAAGAATTTTTGTGTGTATGCAAGAATTTGTGTTTACGACTAACGCATGCACGTGTGTATGCTGTAATCAATGTATGTAATGCATGTACATATATGTGTCTGTGTGCATGTGGGTGTATTCGAGGCAGGCATGTATGTCAAATTTCGGACCGAATTAACTGGTTTCCTCAGTAACTAAAACGATTGCTAGTCACGAATGATTTTCGTTCAGAACGTTCTTCAATGATGTGACCGACAATAATGCCATCGATTTTGATATTGTAATAGAAAAGTATACTGAAATAAGAAGGGGAATCGAACAGGAAATTGTGAAAAAAGAATTAAGAAATTAGTAAAATCAGTGAAATTATTTTAATAAAAATTATTACAGTTGTAAGAAATGTTTCGGTCCATTAAGTCGTATACTCTCCAAATCCGAATTATTGGGGGCCACTCAGCACATCGGAGGCTTTCCAACTGTTGTTTTAATATGCCATAGATACTAATCAATTACTGTCGGTTACTAATTATTTGATTATCATTTATAAATCTTTATTCTAAGAAAATGTTTGCTCTACGTTATTTCAGATGCTTCGTTACTTTCTGTTCTGTTTGGTTTCATGGAAAATTGGGTAACAAAATTTCGAGTAACGAAATTTAAAACTGTTCGACTTTCTGTTGATTTTTCTCTCAGCAGTAAGAATGTACTAACCGCTTTGGCTTCTCAATTTCTTCGGAACCAAAATTTAATACATCCCAGCCATCATAGGAGAATAAGCCAGCAAACAAAGCCGTTACAATGTGACTTGGACGGAAAATCGTCCCTTCGAATGGGCGCTGTAGGTTTTCAGTTTCACCTGGAAAACAACTGATTAAACCTGTAGAGATGAATTTTTCGAAGACAATTCAGAGCAGCCAAAGCTTTCTCTAGGAAATAATCCTCCCAGAAGACGAAACGAATGTTCGGGACGCCACTGGGTCGACCACTGGGCGATGCTTGGAAAAGTTTTAAACTGTATAGATGAAAGAAATAGTAATCTAACTTATTCTTCTTAAAAATTCGCTCTTCAAGGCATGCAAAAGTGGACCAATATATCCTCAGATTTCCAGCTTAATTTTTTTTCCTTGAAATTTTCATAGTAAGCCACAAATGCTTAACTTTTGCCTAAACACCTAACTTTTCCCGAAGATCTTATTTGCTCAGACAGAGCGGATTACGGAATGACGCCCATGCAGTCTAGACCAACGGAAAGCTGCCAATGTAGTAGAAAGATCTGCATAAAAATCTCTGTGGAATTATGAGAGAGGCACAAAACAAAAAAGGCTGGAGAAATTGCCAGCAGCATCAATAACGAGAAGAAACGCAACGGTGAAACAAAACTGATCAAAGTGTGTCTGGAAAAAAGCAAAAAATAATTAAAATTTGCCAAACCTTGAAAAAATAGGGCGTAAAATCCGGTGCATATGACAATAGCTGTTGCGGCAATTTTTGTAATTGATGCGATAATTTGAAAGCGTGCAACGATTGTTTTTAATGAAAAAAAGTTCAGCGCCATCAAAAGCCCTGAAAAGTGAAATTTTTTCTCGGTCTTCCGCGAAATCGTTGTTCAATTAATTATAAAACAATAACAGTGCTGTGGCTAGGGTTTTGTTAACTCAAAAATCTGAAAAATGTTGGTTTTAGTAGTCAAAAAGTAAAAAAAGCAAAATCAGTCCCCGTCCCCCCTTTCTTTTCCTCATTTTCTTCATCTGTCGCCTCAGATTCAATTCTCTGAGAATAGCATGAATGTAGGCATTTTGAAATCTAACTTTATTTAAAATAAGAGGTAATTTATCGCTTTTTTTGTAATATTTTGCAGAATGTTTCTTCTGAATTAGGCCCCTTGAATTTGGGCTTCAGGCCCCAAGTCAAGGCATGACAAACTTTAAGTGATTTCGAACCTATAGTTTTTTCACTATTTAGGGGCTATGCTCGCAAAATTTCGAGTCCCTGTTCTGATCGGAAGTATGTGTGCATGTACATACATATACACATATACATATATACATGTACACATACCTATATACACACATAAAATCGTCGAAATGAGTTCTTTTTAATACAAAATATTTAAAAAAAAAGATAAAAATAAGAAAAAAAAAGATATAAAAACACATAAGATAGCATCTAAAACGACAAAACTAGCTTACAAAGCAGTGAGAAACCGACGAGTTTCTTGGCATAGTACTCCTGCGTGCTGTCTGCTATTTGAATGCGTAAACCTTTGATGAAATATTCGCTGAATGTTTCGGTTTGGATTGCAAGTGTTGCCGGATAGACGACAAAACAACCCACACACATAAATGCAAATGCTATCGGATACCTGCACATGGATATTATGTTAAAATAATTTAAAAGAAAATGAAAGGCAAACAAGAAAGTATTCAAAAATTAAATCTCAGATTTCTAGGCCGCAACAAAACATTGTTGAACTGATCAACATCGACAGTTTCATCGTTATGACGGAGCTTTTTTCCCCCAAAAAATATGAACCAAAAGGGATCTGAGCCTCTCAAAATTCACAGTCTCCAGATCCTTCGAATCGTGACGTGTTAACCATTACACTACCGGTCCATCTGCTCTACGGCAAGCAGTTGGAGAATTTATACGCATGCACACCCATATATAT